ATCATCTGGCTGCTCCTCTCCGGACCGCCGTGTTTATTTTTCCCACGACGCGAACAAGACGGACCCCGAACCTTGAACGTTTGACCGATTTCCGTGGGAACCGCCAGCGAAACGGGCGGACAACGAGGTCGGGAATCGATTCGCATCGCGTGATTTCTTCTCATCTTCAATCTGGATTTCATCTCGGCCGCAAGGGTTTCCACGAACTCACTCGAAGGCCCACCCAGGTGGCCCACGGGCCACCCCGGTGACCCATGGCCCATGGAAAGGAGAGAGCGGATTCGGGACGAAACGTGAGATCCTGCCAGACAATGAGTCTGTCGAGTCTCATCCCAAGGGGTCCATCGTTGATCGAAAAGAGAAAAAAAAAAAGACGAGAGAGAGAGACATCGCACGGAAGCCCCCAAAAAGAGGAAATGCGAGAAACGAAGAGATTCGGGGGCAAAAGGCTTTTTCTCCTCGAAAGCATGATGGATGAAGTCCAGCGGGCACGGTCCACCGAATTCCCCGGACCTTTCCCCTCCGACACATGCCACGAGAGGACGCGCACTCGAAGATGAGAGGACGAGCACTCGAGGATGAGAGGACGCGCACGTGCTCCCACCCCCGATGGATCATCTGGCTGCTCCTCTCCGGACCGCCGTGTTTATTTTTCCCACGACGCGAACAAGACGGACCCCGAACCTTGAACGTTTGACCGATTTCCGTGGGAACCGCCAGCGAAACGGGCGGAGAACGAGAGAGAAGGAACATCGATCCGCTCCACCACTGATAAGCATTTATAAAAAATGCATGGAACACTGTCCTCATTGAACGGTAAGTCATTACTCCGGCTCCCTATCCGTCCCAAATTGGAACGGGGACTCGCCTCGGTCGCCCAGGTCGCCCATGGTCGCCCAGGTCGCCCAGGACCAAGCCGAGGGTCAGAGGAATCCGACGCAACTGCTCTTCCGCCCGGAAGAGAGCGCGGGTGGTTCATTTATGATTAACGCCTTGCGAACGACTCCCCCGTAGCCAAGAGACTCCGCAAGGATAAACCCATCCCGACCGTGAATTATGAATCCTCTTCGTCTCGTCTGCCGTCTCCCCGAATTCGCAAGGGAACGGAAAGAAGCGGCTCACTTGGATGAGGGAAGTCTCGAGACGATTCTCGGCCTTCTTCACCTGCTTCATCTCACGACACGGCCACGGAACGCATGACGCACCTCGCACGTTCGACCGGAGGCGCCGGTGCCCGCAACCCGGCAGGAAGTGAACTGACGCAGGCGAGCGGAGGGGATGGCCAGGCCGTTCCCACATCCTCATCGTCCAAGCAGGCGCAGCGTGCTTCCTTCGCAGCGTGCTTCCTTCGCAGCGTGCTTCCTTCGCAGCGTGCTTCCTTCGCAGCGTGCTTCCTTCGCTACGCACACTTCCCGTAAACCTCCTTCCGGCCGACTTTGTCAAACGAATCCGCGACTTTGGGCCTCGGGACTTCTCGCCTCGGTTCGTCCCGGACCGCGACGGCCGCCTCCCGTCCAGCCGCATCGGGGCTGGAATCCGTCAGCGGAGGAGCTGCCGCCGACATCGCATTAACTTAAGCGGATTGCACAGTTCGCAAATAAGTCCTCATTGACCGACGGGGCTTCATCGGGCAAATCCGCCCCCGACGGCACCGAAACGAAATCGATCTCGGGAAACGGATTCCGTATGCACTGCGAGTTATTCGTTTGCACGATTTTTCATTCTTCGGCTTCTCCTTCGCAAGTAAATCAACAGCGGCACGCACCAGAGCGATTTATTAATGTAACTTGATGGGTTTATTTTCCCTCCGTTCGAGCCGAATCGATGCGGTGCAGGCCGTCTCCAACTTTTTCGGTCGGTTTGAGAATGCAGAAATTGCAGCGCGGTGTCAAATGTCTTTATTGCCCCAGCACAGTAAAATGACTTTATTGCTTTACGATCGGGGGAAAAAGAAGGATGCAAAATTTCTCGAATTTCGGTTCGGGATTTGATCGAATACCGAAGGATCGATCAGGATCGTTCAGAATCGATATTTCCCTCTTCATTCAGGAGAAGATCGCATCTTCGGGGTCGAAGGCTTCCTCGACGGAAATGCGCAATATGCATACGAGCATATTGCGCCCATCCCCCGAGTATTGACTTTATCAGATTAGAAGTTCGAAGATGAACGCTTTCGATTAGATGCAGCAGGAAGTGCGTTCCTTTTCGTATGGAAAGCGAAGAATTCTCTTCCGAACTTCTACGCAGGAGAAACTTCACCCCGGAGACTTTGGAAACTGCTCGATGCTTTGAAACGCAAGCGAAAAAGCTTGAGGAAGGAATGCGTGGGTACCTGATTGACGTCGGGGGAATCCGGAACACTCATCGGAGGGCGGGAGGACGCGAGGGTTGGGGAAGACGTCAGAGACCTCCTGACCTGAGAGGACGTCAGAGACCTCCTGACCTGAGAGGACGCCTGAGACCTTCTGACCTGAGAGGACGCCTGAGACCTCCTGACCCGGGAAGACCTCTGCCTTCACCCCTTATAAGCTCACTCGCTCGTGTGGCGTCACGATCGTTTCTTCTCCTTTCTCCGACCGCTTTTTTTCCTCCATTTTCTTCGTCCCCAGATTCTTCGATAGTCTACGGAGGGGAGGTAAGAGCCTTAACTGCCTTATCTTCCCCGGATGCGAAAAGAAAAAGCAGGTGTCTCCGCCTGCCATTCTCGTCATCGAACGTGCTGCAGCCTGCGTGCAGGAGTTTTTTAGGGCGACAGATTCCCCACCCCAAGCTATATTTAAGATGTATTTGCAGAAACCGGGTCCGTTCGCCTGGCCGGATCGCGGAACGAACTGCTTCCTGTTAAAGATGGATGTTACTTTTACTTAGATTTTCATTTCTATCGAGTCAAAGAAAAGATTGTCGTATCCATGCCGTACTAACACCTCTTAGCGTGCTTTAAAAACCTCAGATATTTAGTTTGAATAGACACGTATGTATAAGGCATTCATAGACTTCATTATATATTAGACAGTCTTGTGTCCACTACACTGATTTAGGCACTGCTCGGTTGATACGTACCAGACCCTTGGTCCTTACATTCTTAGACTCTTCAGCGGCTTTAGTTTTTAGAACTTTCGAGGAGAATTTTTTTTTTTTACAAATCATTTCATTTGCAGTTGGATAAAAGCTTTCAATGAGAAGCAAGATAGAACAGTTTTGACTCCTCCGAGTCAATTTCTTCATTTCCGTCATACAATGAGTCACGGACAATGAACTCGTCGGAATCCTAAAATCTGATAAGTTACACGCGCCTTCTAGACCCAGCTCAGTCTTTTAAGTTCGAAAGTGAGAGCTTCCAGTGGGAGATCCTTGAATTTCGCAACGAACGAACGAGATTTCTCGGCTCAGAATCGACCGAGTGCGTGGAGCCGGTTCGTTTCCATCGCAGGTAAGACGATTGGGAAATTATATTATCAAAAAGAATTCAGTAGCAAATGGGAATCCGAAGAGAAGTCGGGAATTTCCTCCCACGGAGATCCGAATGCACGAGGAGCAGGGTCGGGTAGATGGGAGGGACCGACGAGATAAGATCTTGGCGGTTATCTTTGGGGTTTCGCTTTCCTGGAGCTAATCTTCCCTCTCGAGATGGGAAGTCGGCGAGAGACGGTTCTTCGCGTGTCACAAGCTCGGTGGATCGGGGAGAGGCGGTTGGGGGCCTAATGCGAAGCAGGACGTTAATGTTGGGTCCATTTGCTGAAGGGAATCGAGCAGCAGCCTCGGCCGATCGATTCGCTTATGAGGCTGTGTGGGACGGGACCCACCAAGATGACATTTCATGAGTTTTTGTCGGCTGCAGCAGAGAGAGGGAGAAGATTCACGACAGCGAGACGGACCTTGTATACCTTCTTCGTTGAAAAGTAGAATTGGAATCTGAAAAATAAGACATGAAAGAGAAGTGCCGTTGCGTCTCCTTAAAGTTTTTTTTTTTTTCCGTTCCGCTTCGCTCGGTCGGGATTGGGGTGATTCGCTCGGTCGGGGGGAAAATGGCACTTGCGTCCGATTAAAGTCCGTTAGGTCGTCAGAATTTTTCTGCGCGGACGCGGAGGGAACGATCTCGTGATTCATTAGTTAATTACTGCGGGTTGATCTGATACGGCGAGATTAGTCGGGAGGATTATCTTGAGATCCGTTGCGAGCGGATAAGCAGGATTTGGAATCATCCGCCATGAAGATCTTCTTAAGCGCTGCCTGCCCGCTTAATCTTAATTGTAATCGGCTTAAGTCGTCTTAATTCAAATGTTCAAATCTGATATCTCCCGACTTGAAATAAAGTTTTGCACTATCGAAACAGCTACACTCGACTCTCGGAGTAGCAACTCTTAGTAGCAACTATTAGTAGCAACTCGGAACTGCAAGAAGGAGGCTGGCATCCACCGCAACCGGAGCGCCACAAATCCCGGTCGCTTCCGGTGAGACTCGGGGAGGGCGGAGCAGAGGAAGAAGAGGCGAGAAGGGAAGAAGGAGGGAGGTGGCCCCACAAGCGACGACGGCCAGATTGGCAAGGAAGTAATCCACGTGGTTGTGACCGTGGAAGCAGACGACAGAGGAGGGGCGGAGTCCCAGTCCGCGCTTGCGTAGTGCCGACGCCATTCGCCTCGCCCTCCCCTCCACCTCATCGTACCGCAGTTTCTGCTCGCTCACACTGTCGGTCTGCACCGTCAGAAGTACAGTGTGACTGGGATGTGCTTAGAATATTTCCGTTTCAAAGAGCTGAATGAGTTGCGCCTGCTGGTGAGCGTGACTTTCGGGCAAATAATATAACTTGCTTTTGTGGGCCTAAGTGGAGGAGCTCCGAAACAAGGCAGGGCAACATAAGGATTTTAATGCAAGTAGATTTTTGTAACACGTGACTAAAAAACTTACTTTGTGCACTGGCGCAAGTTGCCTCTTTTACCCTCCCACTCTCCATGTGTCTGCTATGAACTCCTCGTGCGACTACCATCCTAAGATGGCGGCCGCGCCTGGGAGAGTTCAGCCTCGCGCTCCATAGGGGAGTCCCCCCCCCCCATTTGCACTCTCTATGTTCCAGCCATTCCCTAGAACGTCCCCAGAACAGAGCGTCTCACCCAGGCCCAATCCAGAAGAGATGAGAAGAAAATCTTCAATCGGGCTTTGAACGACCAGTGGTCAAACAAAAGAAGCGGCATGCACAGCACGATTTCCCAATTTTCCAAGATGCAGCCAATCCTACCCCCCCTCCCCCCCTCCCCCTTTAGCACCCCAATCGGCGCAGCTAGGCACTCGACCAGATACGATGGGATCTCGAGCCATCCACGATGCCTTTGTCGCGTCACCATTTCACGAATTCCAATCTTCTGGAATATAAATTCCAACTATATCCACTCTTCCCAGAAACGTTTGGTTTCTTCGTTATTCCCATAAAAATAAATAAATAATGCCAAATTATATATTATCATAAACCATGAACTTTATTAAATTATTGACTGCATAATGTGATAAAAAATGTTTTAATAAAATTATATTTAAAGAATTTTTATCATTTATAATGAAAGGACAAAAGAGACAGCAAAATCACTCGATTTAAAAAAAAGGGGGGGAGGGGAGGGATGGAGGAAAGGTCTGTCGACTCACAAGGAAAGGAGCATCCCCAAAACGAGAGGGATTGTTGCGAACGAAGACGAAGTCGAAGAGTGTGACGTCACTGGGCACATTGGACGCACGGTGAAGAGCAGATCGAGCGATCTTCCCTTCCCAGACCATTTCGTCTCCCACAAGCGAGCGGAAAGGAGGTGCTCGTTAGCCGGGGAGGAACTTGAGAGATGTCTTTCGCTGGGTTGGGACCGAGATGTCTCTTGCGTGTTTATTTTCTCTTGGTCGAGGTCGTGGGGGTGATAAGAACGCCCAGTCTTAGGTTTGCATCATTTCCCTGACGGTGGAGGAGTTAAGTGATGAGAGAAAAAAATCCGAAATGCTGAGCCATCGGCCATTAACCCTCTTAACATGCCGGGCCGATATATTGACCTGGATGCTCATCCCTTACAACAACAAAAATTCTCCTTGCTGTATTCCTCGAGTTATGACCTTTCTGGAAGCAGGGAGCAATATGAAGCAGGGCCGGATACAAAAATTTTTCATAGGGGGGGGCGGTTCCCAAGTTCCTACCTAGTCCCCCCCCCCCCCCCCCCCCCCCAC